CCACTCCAAGTCTATTTGAATTTCAAATTAGATTTGAGCTGTCATTCTCTTTCCTAAATGACATGAATTGATTTGGAAGTTACAAATCCTCTACCCAAATCCCTCCCTCTCTCTCCCATTAATTACCCACAATTAAATCCCCCTTATTCCCTCATAACCGCCGGTCCCCCCCCCTCTTTATGGGATTAATTTGAATTTCAAATTAATTTCCCTCCAATTCCACTTAACTTGAAAGCTAATTTCAGATTTTTAATCCTCACACCAAGCCCCACCTAGCTCAAACCGCCCCTCTCCTTCTCCCCACCTTGGCAGCCCCCTCTCTTGCATTCCCTCTCTTGGTAAACCCTAGTTGGTTCTTGATACTCGACGCCAAGAGAAGAAGACGACAACCTCTCCTCCCATCCTCGACGTTGGTGCATGACCGTTTTACATCACTTTTGACTCACTATATTGGACTTGACTCATACCCGCCTCCAAAATGCATATGATTCCCATTACTTATCTTCTAAAGCAAAATAGAAACTTTTCAAAATTGGCCCAACCAGCAGGCATTTATTAACTAGTTTTCTACATTAATTTTGCGTATAATGTTTGTCTCCATCCTTTACATCCTCCCAAATTTAAGCGAGGCATGTGCATAGCAAGCATACATGCAGAATAGCAACTAATGCTGAGAAATTCTTAGATAACTTGATTAAACTCTAATAATACTCTGTCATAATTTGGATCTTTGAGAAACAAAACAGAAGACAAATAAATGCATCAAGTTTTATGAACAAATTTATACACAAGATCAAGAAATTAATGACAGTAAATGTATATGATTAAGCATAAAGCCATGTTTTATAATGCATTTCAACTTTTTTGCTTATCAAAAATTGACAAATCAACATTTTGATTTGAGCGGAAATAGGACGAAGACAGTGCTTAACCAAACAGGCACCCCATCCACAGTTTCATGACCGTGAGTAAAACTTGCAGAAGAAATCACTTTTTTTTTTTAATAGAAGAAATCACATATCTGTGAGAGTAAAGATGATTTTATTCGGTACCATGGAAAACAAGACAACAATCAAGATTCCTAAATGACAGGCTAAATCCTTATTATCTAATTTAGCTGAGTCAAGCTTCACTAAAGTTCAAACTTGCCTGAATTCAACAAATATATATGATTAAACATGCATCAACATAAAAATACCTACTTAAATAAGGTTATTAGATTGGATGAAATTTAAGATACTTGTGGATTCATCAACCTTTTTTTGAAATAATTAGTGTTATATCTAATTTGTTTGATTGCACATGCTGGAACTCATCTCTCTAAAATTTCCTTGTTTTATATAACCAGAGCAGTTAGTGCCCAATTGAAGCTTATTGAAGCCCAACTGAAAATCAACAAAATTATTAGGAGATTGGTCAAATGTTTCTAGAACTCGACTGACATTGCCAGTACTCTGCAAGAACTTGTTGCAGACTAACTGGAGTGGGAACAAATTGCTCATAACATCATATCCAAGTCAGGTAAGGCATTTGAAGTACAAAAATAAGATATTTTTGCAAGTAGAGCACTATCAACCAAAAGTAAAACAAACTTCCGAAACTTGCCATTTCCTTGGTAGAACATACAAATCTCTAATTAAAACTTTTTAACAACTTATATGTTCTTCAACAAGGCGAACACCTTGCAATATCCATAAAATATAAACTCAATTGCAAACTCAGATAGAATGAAAATTTGCGGAAAAAAATTGTGCAGCATCAAAGACTACGATGGATAAAAATTCTGAAAAAAGTTCAGAAGAAACTTACACTTAAACCAGATGGTTTGTGAGGAACTTTGGCAAATATCTCTTCAGCAAATAATCGAGTATCTTTCGAGGAGGACAGGCCATATTCCACAAGCTTGCCCACGAGTTCAGTAGGTGAAGACGACTCTTTGGCTGCAAAGCAAACATCATCTCATTTGGGCAATAAAAATGAACATAAACATCCTTTTGAAATAAACATCATTTTGAAAGTAAAAACTACCCCTGACAATATTCTTCTCAGAAATCTATGACTCCCTCACAAAGGATGGTCACATGCATGCAAGAATGCATGCCCAATAGAACTCACATAGATTATTTGTGGTACGCATGCATTTGACAATTCCCCAAAACGAAAACATGACCATGCATTTCTTTTAAGCTTAAGAAATCATGCTCATTGATTATTTTAGATCTCAAAAATTCATTTGTTTTAGAAATCATAAATTACCTATCTAATATTTTTATTATAAAAATATACTATTTAATAACTTCATATTAATAATTTTGACGCTGTCCATTCAAAATTTGGTTCCAATACTCACTTATAATTTCATTTCGATAGCCACTTAAAATAATTTTAATTATAAAGAATAATTTGAAAAGCCTTTTAAATATAGAAGTACGAGCAAATCTTTCATATCATCGACAAAAGATGGAGATGTCACCTTTGACAATCATTACATCAAACTATCTAATATCTCAATCCATAACATTTAAAAAGAAAATGCCAACAGTCGAATCAGATGGATAATTGATAAAAAGTTTATATATAATTATCAGCGGATTAGTGGGACCCAAACAATAGAAATATTATATATTAAGTACTCTCTAATTATAACAATATTGATTGCAAATTTGCAATCGAATTCATATTCCTCAATAGAGATAATAAATCTCCAACTATAATTAATTGAAGCTTCTATATAATTTTAAAATTTCTATTTATTTAAGTTTATCTTGAATGTGACACTATAAATTTAAAACAACAAGTCGTGAGAAATCTATCATGAAAAGATGAGATTGACTCACAAAAAGATAAAGATGAAAAATTATACTCGAAGGAGAAAGAAATAATGTGAATGAAAGAGAGAGCTATAACTAATGAATTATCTTTAGATTTTATGAAATTTGAGACTTCATGCATTTAAATTTGGCTTTTTCTATGAATTAAATTTGTTTTTATGCGCTTTTTAAGTTTCTAATTTTTATATGAAACTACTAAACCAATTTTAAACTTATAACCATTTGTTAATTCTAATGCATTATAGAAATTATTAGAAATTTCAACATACAAGTTCTCTTTCAAAGTATGTTGTCAAATTTAGTATGTACTATGTACATCACATGTATTTTCAATTTTACACCAAGTTTTAAGTCATCTATTAAATGCTCCATATTCCATAATTATTACAAAATTATATTTATAATCATATAAGTTATGAGCGCTCTAATTAATAAAAATGCCACTTCACATTTCCCTTTGCTCATTGACGTAAAACACTTGTATATTGCATCGTGCTTTGTGGATTGAAAATGCTGTTCTGACACTATATTAAAGGCAATTAAATCAATTCTTTCTCCTGTTTTAATTCATTTACTTATTGCATATGTGGACCTCCGAAGGAGCACCGCTCGCGGGGGTGCTGAACTGCCTAAGGGCCTCTTGCCAATCAATTCTTTCTCCTGTTTTAATTCATTTACTTATTGCATAATTTTTCAAGTTGTCTAACCATTCAATCTAAAAAGATAATTAAATTATAATTCTATCATTTTTACCTTTTTATTTATTTTGAGAATATTTAAATCTATATCTTGGTGAATTTATTTGAAAAAATCTCAATTTGCGTTATCATTCAAAGTTAGTTCAAAATTACAACAACAAATGGAAGAAAAAACCATTGTTCAACACATGAAATAAACTAAAATAATCAATCTCATTTAATATTTTCACTTGCATTCATTAAACGATGTTATCCCACTTTATAAATGACACATAAAATTGGCATATTAAAGTATTATTTTGAGTAATTACATTATATCCAAATTGAAAATTAAATTGAGTTTAAAGTTTTATATAAGCACATGTACTTTATCAGTCTTATGAAAATGTGTCAACAAAATTGATTAAAAATTATACCAACCGCTCAGTATCTAATTCAGTCATCCTAGCTTGAACAAGTTCATGACAATAACATTGCGTTTAACAAAAAAGATGATTGAACAAAGCTGGTTCCCTCAGTTGCTTTTATCTTGTCTTCACAAATGGCCTTATCAAGCTAAACAAGATCAACCTAGAGATAATTTGATGTGGTACTCATTGTAACTATGGACAGGAGACCCACACCACCCAAAAGTAAAAGCATTAATCTGAGAATAACTCCAACCATGGTCTTTGTTAACATATACTAACATGATTTTTTTTCTATTTTGCTACAATGAATATGATTTTTTTCTAATTATTAACTCCCTGGTTTGAATAATCTCAATAGGGTAATCAAATAAACAAAAAAAAGCAAGTATGGCATAATCCATCCTCCTTGTTAAACATTAGAAACAGTGAATATTGATACTTACATAGCCTGATGACATATTGAACAACCAAACTCTTAGAGTATCCCATTAGTGACATCAACTTGTCCGAAACCCAACTCTTTAGGTAGACTTCATCAGCCATGGTTAGGATTCACTGCCTAAGAGGAAAAAATAGACAAACACAGTTATATCAAGCTCTGTTAGAGAAAGTAGCCTTTACATATGAACAAGAAGTAAACCACAAATCACAGGTGTATGAATAGAACAACAATAATTATCCATGGAATAAAATATGCATTGCACTTTAGGCAAGTCAGGCTTAGATCAATCTTATAAGTTACTAGTAATAAAACCCTAATCATCATCCTTTCAAGAACCTAACTGGATATAATTGAACGAAATCGCTTGACCAATTTGACCTTGATGGGCATTAAAACCATGGAGACAGAGCATATGGTGAACCAATTTTCAGACAAACTAGATTAGCACAAAATCTTTAATAATCAATTATACGGATAGAGGATTTGCTAATTAAAACCTGCCTGCATAAGAATATTCAGTATAGAAGGAGAGAGTGAGAAAGAGAGAGGCCACCTAGATACTGAAGTCAGTTCAGCTCCAATGATGAAACAAAAATTCAAAAATTGAATGGCAGATAATGAACTCGCAACGTTTAAATAAGCTTTAAGCACGAAAAAAGTCAGTTATAACAAGCATTTAGCTGATTTGCGGATAAAATGATCTCTAGGATTAAAACGGTTTCCCGACCCAAAATGAGAAGGGGGTGAGCGATGCAATAGCTAATGAAGAAGTAGAGGAAAAGTCAAGGAGGAAGTGGAACGAGGATAAAACACACCTTTTGCTAATGGACCTCCTTGCCAAGATGGCAACACATTCTTGTCAACACTCACAATGGGAAGATGAAGGCTTGGCAACTCGGTAAAGGAAGAGAAACTAAGAAAGCAAAGTGTGATAGGGTGACTCATTGTCTTTTAAATTGCAATATTTTATTGAGCATCTAGTAGGTAACAAGATATATTAGATTATTAAGCCTAATTCCTTCTTCAAATCAAACTAAGGGCTTAGGGTGAGGATTAGTATTATCTAGAAAGTAGCATTGAGTCTAAAAGCTACTAAACCTAAATAGGAAATAGTGGTTTAACGGACTAATCACACTTAACGTTCAAAATTAATATTAAAATGAACTTAATATATGAATAGACAAACAAGGTGATGTAAAACCATCAAGAATTGCACGAGGAAATTGTAAAGAACTACAAAGTTTGCTACTAGTAGATTAAAGTTTCACGAGACGAGATTCAAGAACTCTCCATTGTTAAAATTATTATGATAAGCAATTACAAACTTGATGTTTGGGCACAATTGGCGATAAATCTTGAAATTCTCACAATAAGACAAATGCGAAGTAAAATATAATCCCACGGCTAATGTTTAGAAAATTCACAATGAGTTACCTTGCTCACTCACACTCAAGTGGGGCTTAGCGGAAGGAGGTCTTTAGCATACCCAACGATGCCACGAGGACGGTAGCAACCCCAACGGCCTTGAGACACGGAAAGGTTGACGGTGGCGAGGATGGTGGGAATGGTTGACTGTCGATGCTCCAATCGTAGTTTGGAAGTTGGCGGTCGATGATGCTCGCAAGAGTAGGAACAACTCGATCCAAATATTCTCCAAAGGTGGTGTCGTCTTCAAATCCCACGTCGAAGAACGGAGATCGTAGGATGTTGAGATTTCCGTCGACGTCAAACACAAGTCCCCACTCAAGTTCGGGATCCGCCATTCAAAATTGAAGTGGAGGTTGAAGGCGTCGTCTTCTTCTTCTCTTGCTTTAATTTACCAAGGGAGGGAGTGGGGAGAGGGTCGGCCAAAGTAGAGGAGGGGGGCGGGTGAATTGGGTTAGGAGAGGGGAGGATGAGAGTTATACAAATCTGAAATTAACTTCAGAATTTGAGTAATTAGGAGGGGAGCAAATTTGAAATTGATTTCAAATCATCAATAGAATTAAGGGGCAGTTAATGGGCATTAATGGGGCCCATTAATGGAGGGGGCGGCGGGCTTTAGAGAGAGGGAGAGTGATTTCAAAACCTGAAATTAAATTCAGGTTTTGAATGAAATTAGGGGAGAATTAATTTGAAATTGATTTCAAATTAGTGGGTAATCAAAGCATTAATTGGTGCATTTAATGGGGCTTCATCTAGGGTGAGGCCGGCGGCTTCTAGAGAGAGGGAGGAGGTGTGGGAGATTACTTTCTTTCCAAAATGAGTTTGAGACTTATGGAGGGAAAATAATGAGTCATTTATTTAGACTCCGTTTGAATTTTAAATTCGAAAAACTTCCTTATTTGAAAGTTTGCAAATAAAGAAAGTTTTGAATTTTGAAATTTGAATTTCAAAATTCAATAACTCAAGCATTTAATGTGGGGCCTCAATCAAGGATCCATTATGACGATTGATATCATCAACATGGTTAGAGGCAAGGGGGTGACCGGCGGCCAAAGGGGGAGGGAAGCCTTGCCGTCGGGTTTGGGGGGAATCTTGATGGAGCTTGGAGTTGTAGAGGATGAAAAGTGGAGGATTGAATCTCGGGTAGAGATTGCCGTGGGAAGTGAGAAAACAAGCGTAGGCGAGGAAATACAAGATAAACTAAAACCACGAGCCGAGGACGCTTCCAACGACTCGTGGGTAATGCAATCGCTCACCCTGAGCTCAATTACCCTTCTCTAGCTCTCATGCAAGAAGAAGAAGACAACATAAAATTTCATTCCAAAATCATTAACCATTACATGAGAAAGTGGCCACATATATATAGGCCTCACAAGACGAAAATGCCCCTCGGGCTACAATAATGACCAACTACCCACAAGGATAAAAAAACAGAAACTGATGAAATAAACTGAAATTGAAATGAATAATGCATAAAATGTGTCAAAATACATAAAGTGAGTCAAAAGTAGATACTCTCAATCGTGGCCATCGATCTCCGGTGTCGCCTCTGATAGACGCGTCGAAACCTCGGATCGATGTCCCCATCACAAAGTGTTATTTGACAAGCAAATAACCAGAATTAGAATCATGATAAACAGCATATATCAAATTACATGCCAAAAATAATATATACTTGCTACATTTGCATTTCCATGACCACAAGTGCCTCTCAATAAAGGCTTCTTTCATAATATTATGCAATTATTTTGTTGCAAAGCCTACATGTAGCAAAATCAGTGTTACTCTTATAGAGATAAAAAAGATGATCTACAAAGTGTCAAATAGGATTTAAAACTCATGGAGAAGTATGAGTGGAGTTCATTACTTTTGCTTAGAAATCACCTTTTAGTAGTATTTTACATCAAAAACCTCTTTTTTATCACTCCCTATAAGAAGAATATCATTTACATTAACAACCAAGATAATGGAGCCAAATGAGATGTTTTTGACAAAGAAGGTGTGACATCTACTGTTGCTATAAAAACTAGACCGAGTAAGAAATTTGTAAAGCTTATAAAACCAAGCCTAAGGATTTTACTTTAGTCCATAAATAGCCTTGTTAAGCTTACATGCTCTAGTCTCCCTCTGAATAATATACCCTGACAATTGCTTCATATAAATAGCTCTAGTTAGATTTCCATAGAGGAATGCATTACTATATTCATTTGTAGCAAAACTGTAAAAACCAATGCTACATATAAATAGGTCTAGTTAGATTTCTATAGAGGAAGGCATTTACATCCTCAGTAAGAAATTTTCCAAACTTACAAAACCAAACCTAAAAGGATTTTACTTTACTAATGATTTAATCCGGCTGTTTGGATGCAGGATTTATTGAGGCGGATTTGAGCTAAATCCCGCCAAACGGCTAAAAAACGCAAAATCAAATCTCGCGATAATGGAAGCCGCAGTTGACGGAAAAATTGCCGATTTACCAAATCCTTCGGTTCGGCGGATTTACGGGATTAGGCCGAAGAAGCGCGCAAAGGGGAGAAAGTTACCTTCACAGCGAGCGAGCTCCCGTCGTTGCTTCCGATCAAAATGCTGTAACTTCCTATCCAACAGAAGAACGTCGTCGAAGGAGCGAAGTCGGACAGTGACGAAGGAGCCGAAGAACGGACTCGTGGAAAACTTTACAATCATGCGAAGGGACGAAGCCGAACAGCAGCGACGAAATAGAGAAGCGAAAAGCAAACCCTACGGGGCTGTTTGGTATCGGATTTATCGTGGGATTTAAGTCGGATTTACGCTAAATCCAGCCAAACGGTTTTTGTGCGCGCGTTAAATCCCGGGATTCCGTAAATCCCGGATTTACGGATTTACGGCTTAAATCCCGGATTTACTAAATCCCTCGGTTCGGTGGATTTAACGGGATTTAACATTAGAAGCGCGGGAGAAAGTTACCTTCACAGCCAGCGAGCTCCTGTTCTTGCTTCCGATCAAAATGTCGTAACTTCCGATCCGACAAGAAGGGAAAGTCGTCCAAGGAGCGAAGTCGAACAGCCACGAAGGAACCGAAGTAGCGACGCGCGCAATCTGTACACCTCCTGCGAATCAAACGAAGCCGAACAGCAACGACAGCAAGGACGAAAAGAAAAGATGAAATACAAACCCTAGACGCCTCAAAGTTATTATCGATTAACTTAATTTATATAATTTAAATAAATAATAATTAAGTTATTTAATTAAATAATTAATAATATAATTAATGCATAAATTAATTATCTAATTTAACTTAATTGATTAATTAATGATATAATTAGTAATTAAATATTAATATAAGTATATTATTTACTTTATGCAATGATCTTAATTTCATAAATATCTCCTTTAAACTTAAATCCCTAACTGCCATAAATCCTGATATATGTTATCAAACAGTTTCTCAGGATTTAACAATATTTAACATTTAACATACCAAACAGTTTTTAGGATTTAACTCATTTCGGATTTACTAAATCCGGATTTACAGGATTTATTAAATCCCACTATAGTTAAATCCCACTTGTTGCCAAACAGCCCCGTACATACTTATTGTTGGCTAACATAATTAATATAATTAAAATATTAATAATTAAGTAAAACTAATTAAATAATACTTACATAATTAATTAAATTATTAGTTAAATATTTAGTTATTTCAAAATAATTATTAGGATTAAATATAATTTCAAATAGAAATAATTACAATATAACATTATAAATAATAATTAAATAATTAATTTGTACTAAAAAATACTTTGATATATTTCTTTGTAACTTATATTGTTGTGTTTTAATCATCCATGAAATAAAATTTAAATGTGTTAATAGACTTAAATCCATAATTGAATTGTCAAATAGTCACGCAAGATTTATCAAGATTTACATTGAATGTTACAAAATAATTTTCAAAAATTTAACACCGGTTGGATTTAGTAAATTAGGATTTAGAGATTTAACACCCCTTAGATTTAACATCTGCTTGAATTAAATCTTTGGTGTATCCAAATAGCCCCTGGCAAAAGGATTTATGTAGGATTTGAGCAAGATTTAGCTTAAATTCTGCCAAACAGAATTTTGACTCGACCAAAATCTTATAGTGGAATAAATCCATCATTATCACCTTTTGTGGTAAATCCTGGATTTACTAAATCCGGGAGTTTAACAGATTTACATGAGGCCGAAGAAGTGTGCAGAAGGGAGAAAATGTTTACTTCGCAAAGGCGACCTCCCTCTATCGTCGTCGTTACCTCCGATCCAACAGAAGAACAATGAGCTGTTGTGACTTTCGATCCGACAAGAAGATACATTGTCAAAGTAGGTGAATAAGTTCTTAGCGGCTCATTCAAACTCTTTACCTCTCATGTGAAGCATAGGCGAAGTCGAACTGCTTCAAGAAGAGGAAAATTTAATTCAACTAGTTTAATTACAATTAATCAAAAATAATGTAATTAATACATAACTTGTAGTATAATTAGTAATTACAAATTAATATAATTAGCTTAATTAATATAAATTGAAATAGAAAAAACTAATCATATAATTACTAATGTACATAATAATTAATGAGAAGTTGAATACGTAAATGATTAATAAGATAATTAATTCTAATTTAATAACACTTAAATGAATAATTACATTATTAGTGGGAGCATTAGTGAAATAATTAGTTATTTAAAAAAATAATTAAATCATGGATTAGATTGCCGAATAGTTTCGCTGGATTTAACAACTATCTTATCAAACAATTTTTAGGATCTAGCATACCTAGAATTTACTATATCCTACTAAAGTTAAATCCCGCTTGTTGTAAAATAAGGGTTGTTTTATAGCAGGATTTGAGTAGGATTGAAGCAAGTTTTAACTTAATTCATGCCAAACAGTGAAAAAAAAGAAAACTTAAATCCTAAAAACGAACTCCTCTTTTCCTTGTCGTCGGTCCCATTGAAGACTTCTGCACATAGGTTCAGTCGGTGCTTCCTCACTTATTGTCATCAAGGGTTTCTAGCATTCGGGTAGCTCATATGGAAAAGAAAGATGAGGGTTTGATTAAAATTTTTTGTATCTTATAATTAGTTTATCATAGTCACTAATCTCACATATAAACTAAAACTAATATAGGTAATGTTGCAGGGTAGAATATTTGTGACGGTTGAAAGAGTAAACTTTTCGTCTTAGCGATGCACGGATATTTAGTGCACAAACAGAGAGAGAAGTAAAACACCCGATCTGTTTTACATACAAAGCCTGAAGAGGGAAAAACCACGGGGTCTCGCCCAAGTGAAAATATTCCACTAATTTTTAATGAATTATAAATGTTGACATGTTCCTTGACTTAGATGTAATCAAATTACAGTAGTTAGTCAAATGTTTGGAGAGATAAGCAAATGTCTAGCGATGGTCGGACGGAAGTTCAACGGCATCAGGGCAGAAGTTTAGCTTAGAGGAAATGATCTGATGAAGGATGGGCTGAAGTTCGACGATTCCCGGAGATCAAGTGGAAGTCCGACGGCTATCGTTGATGGTCCGAAGACAATCAATGGGGGTCCACCAACAGCGGTGTTGGAGTTCTTGAAGCGTTTGAGCTCTCTCCAATGTCTAGCCAAAGATCCCCTTTATATAGAGTGTGTGAATCTATTTATAGGTTTTCATGAGTGGCACGCCTCATAAATATAAAAAAGATTCAAAGCAGGTTCGGAGTGCTCCATCAGATGACTCATATTGATTCCCCGATCATATAGAGTTTTTTCAAATGTTTAAGGGTCTTAACGATATCGAAATTCGGCAATCTTGGGCTCGTTGGATTTGTCTCGCCTAGCAGCTCGATTTGGCTATAAGCATGTTATATTTGGATATCATTTTTGTTATCCAAATAATGCTTTGATCCTTCTAAATGTGGTTCAGGCCCCCGATTAGGACCCATTTGGGCTCGCGTTGGACCAATTTTGGTGTTGTTAGGTTCATCTATTTGAGACGTTTAGTTTAACTATAAATTTGTTAAAATTAATGAAATTCAAATTATCCCGAATTTAATTTTAAAAGTTTCCAACCACTACTAAAAAAATAGGCTTACGCGACACTTTTGTAGAATAACAAGAACATCTCCAAACAGAGATTCAGCAGAAGAAGAACGAGAATGAGAAATAAGCGGAAACTATAGAATTGTATTATTATTTCTTAACAGAAGAATTACATGTTATATATAGAGGCATTTAGGAGCCGGCACATAAACAGCAATACAAGAATATTTACACACAGCTAAAAACTAATTATTGTGTTGCTTCTCTAAGACGCCCCCACAAACTGAGGATTCCTTCGTGATAGTCAGTTTGTTTCTCAGCATTTGAAATCGAGGTGTAGACAGGGATTTGGTGAATATATCTGCCACCTGATCTGTAGTACCAATTGGAAGAATACGAATGTTTTGTTGATGAATGTGATCTCTGACAAACCGATGATCAATCTCAATATGTTTTGTTCTAGCATGAAACACCGGATTGTTAGCTAACGCAATCGCCGATGTGTTATCACAGTAAATGTCCGTTGGCTGTGATTGGTTGATGCCAAAGTCGGTGAGAATGCGTCGAAGCCAAACTATGTCTGCTGTAAGAGCCGCTAGAGCCCTATATTCAGACTCAGTGGATGAACGAGCTACTGTTGCTTGCTTTTTGACCGTCCAAGATATGAGTGAGTCACCAAGAAACGAGCAGAATCTACTCGTTGATTTTCTTGATACCGGATCAGCTGCCCAGTCCGCATCTGAAAAGGATGTTAGACATAAGTTAGATTTTGTAATTGGTAACCCGTAATCTAATGTACCTTTGATGTAGCGGAGGAGACGCTTGAGAAGATACGTATGCTGAGGTAATTGGTTATGCATATGCTAAGAAAGGTAATTGACACTGTATGCAATGTCTGGTATAGTAAGACACAGATATTGTAGTGAACCGATAATTCTGCGATAAGTGATTGGTTCGCCCAGAATTTTGTCCGGTGAAAACACAGCCGGCATCTTGGTGCACGTAGGATTAGACAAAGGATTGCAGTGGTGAAGCTCAGCCATTTGTAGTATGAAATTTGCATAAGGTTTCTGAGATAAAAAGAATATGTCTGCAGTTCTTTTTATTTGAATTCCCATGAATGAATTTGCAGCACCCAAATGTTTCATAGTAAATTTAGTATTCAACATGTTGATAATATCTTGAATTTTCACTGAGCTGTTACCCGTGATTAGTAAGTCATCAACATAAATAAGTAAAAAAATAGAAATATTTGAAGTGCGAAATATTAGAAGAGAAGGATCAGATTGACAGTGCTTAAACCCAATTGAAGTCAAGAATGAGGTGAACGTGTTATACCATTGACGCGGAGCCTGTTTAAGGCCATAAATTGCTTTGTGCAAACGACAAACATAATTAGGATGGACGGTATCTTTGAAGCCTTGTGGTTGATGCATATATACCGTCTCTGTAAGTGAGCCATGTAGGAATGCATT